GAGAGAACATGGCTACAGAACCTGGCTGGAGAACCTGGATAATGTGGCTGGAGAACCTAGCAAGAGAACATGGACACAGAACTTGGCTGGAGATTGTGGCTAGAGATCCTGGCAAGGCTGCTGATCAACTGAACGCTGTCTCCGTGTCATTCCTTCTTCGCCGACTCCGTCCACACCTTTGGGGACCCCTGGACCTGCTGGGGCAGGACCCCAGCAGTGGACCAGCAGCCTTGCCCTCCCAGGCTGCAGTCTCCCCGCAGCTCCTTGCCCCGGAGATGGAGGAGCCCATTCTCCTCATCTGTGGGCTTGGGGTTGTACCCTTTGGAATGACTGACGGTTCAGAGCTGAGGCTCTGGCACAGGGCAGGCAGTTTTAGGGACCAGGAACTTGTGTCACCCCTGCCTCATCTGCCAGGGAGGGCAGAGGCGTGGTCCTCTGCTGTGGTCTGGTTGTGCTCCCCTTCTGTGTCCAGGATGGGGGCTGGGCGGCAGCTTTCCTCCTGTCACCCTTGGACCGGGGTTGCAGGGGAGGAAGGGGGACAAGGAGAAAGGGGGAGAAGTCACTCCACAGTGGGGAAAATTAGATCTTTTGTAGAGTGGAAAATGTTACGTCTGGGCTTGGGTCTCCCTTAGAGCTGTCTGCTCTAAGCCCCAATTCTCTGATGTGGGATTTGGACCCTGCCCCAAGCACTTGCTTGGTCATCAGGAAGACAGCAGAGCAGCAGATGGGCAGACTGGCGTGGCAGAGGCAAGACAGGGAGGGTCAGGAGGCTGGGGCTCAGTGCAGGGCCCCTTTCCAAGGCCAGGGCTCACTCCTGAGTGCACAAAGGAGAGATTCAGAAGAGACTCCCAGCCGTTCTTACTAAGTCCTCTGATGGTGTGTATGCCCTCAAGTCATTGCCATGCCAAGTGCTCTCCTTGCTAAATCAGCACCTGGTTCAAACATCCGTACATTTCATAGAAAAACACTGTGGAAATTCAGTGTGCTGCCCAGCCAGTGTGGCTGACACCTA